TTTTTTTTGCTTCATGAATCGCGTAATATGTAGATGAAGGAGAAAAGGAGGTAGCAAACATGTGACACAATATTCTATACTGCGTTAAGTTTTTTTTAATTAAAAAAAAGTTTATCAAACCTCATTTCTCGGGCAAGTGAAAAAAAAGTTTTGAGATCTGCATTTTAATCCAGTCTTTTACTGTTAAAGAAGGTTACACGTACGTAGTACTTAAAAGTATGATTTCATTTATCATTAATAGTAGTGATGTCGAGTAAATATAAAGAACTTAATAAATTTGTAACACAACTTTTGCATCCAACGTTTCTTTTTTAATTTATCAGTGGGTGGCAATGCGCACCGGGAACCGGAGTTCCACAGAAAACTCCGGTGATCGGCGAGAACAATGTCCACCGTTTCATCACTCGCTCAAAAGTTAACCGGGTTAAAATGAAAGAAAAGTAAATCTTGAAATGATTAAATTGAATTCAATTTTCTATTTAAAAATCTTCGAAGGATAAGTCAGCTGTGTTAGTTTCGTCCTCCTCTATTGCATCTCGGGATGCTTCAATTCTCCTCCTCTTCCTCCTCCTCTTCTTGCTCGTCTTCATCCTCACCAGTGAGCTCGGGTTTCTCTTCTGTCTTTTTCGGTCTGCCACGGCCACGTGACGAAGTAGTTGTGCCTTTTGGTGGTCCTTGCTGTAAGTTCAACAATATTCCCGTTTTTTTTTTTTTCAAAATAAATTATTAACCATTAAGATTAAGTAGAGCGATACAACAGTTTACAGCTCGATTAAGATTTTTCTTCTAAATTCATGAAAATGTATACACAATTTTTACAGACGTTTCAAGCGCCCCGTACCTTCTTCTTGTGGGATCCCTTGGGTCTACCCCTTCCTTTTTTAACAGGTCCAGGTGGTGCGTCATCCTCATTGTCAGACTTGGCGGCGCGTACCGCGTTATTCTTTTCCGCGGCGGGTCTACCCCTCTTTTTGGGCTCCTTAACAGCGTTCTTGTCCGCCTTAGCCGGCCTGCCCCTCTTCTTTTTTTGCTCCTCCACCACGGGCGAATTATCGTCTGACATATTTATTGTCCTGTTTCACTGTAAAAGTCAAATCGATATCGATTATCTCTCTGAATCCGTTTCCTGGTCTCTTTTTCAGATCGTGTCGTCCCCAACAAGATGAGCCACGAACAGCGCTAACTAATACAATACAAAGAGTTCCGAGTCATCTGTGTATACACGCGTGTATGTTGTGCGGCTAGCGCGAAAATAAATACGTTACCCGATGGTTTTTCCATCGAGTCCTTGAACATGTCCTTAACTCTCGCGGATATTTCTTTAATACGCAAAATCTCATGCCGTAAAAAAAATCTTGTGCCGTATGTCGGTAATAAAGAAAATAAATAAATAAAAATATAATAAAATAAGT